TTAATTTCGTTTGCTACAGGCACATAAAGAGTAATATAATATTATGTATAAAAGCGATACTTTATAAACTACAAAAATTACGATTAACATCTACGTGGAATGGAAGCTTTTCACGGTACATTTAGTTTCGTATCGCTTAAATTGCATACAATTAATCTGACTTAAAAATCACTCGTCCTTATAATGCAGGCGAATTTCAAACAATGGAAGTTCGGCCAAAGGATGCCTCTAAAGCACAATGCAACGCGCGGTTGCACTTTTGGCCCCGCGTCGAAATTTGCCCTAAAGGTGGTCATTTTCCGCCTCGCGATGACATTAACAGCGGCGAAACTCGCGATTAAACAATGTTTTTTTCCTCGCAAAAAAACTGCTTCGCATTCGGTCGAACCCAAGCCGACCGTGGGCTCCCCTCGCCGTACTATACATACCCGTATACATTCGTCACTGCACAGGTGAATCAAGAATTAACATCGAGACAAAAAACAGTCACAATAACGCTGCTAGCTAACGCATTTTTTTTATTTCACTAGCCCATTCGTAATGACAACTCCCCCGACCGCACTACTTGCTTACTTGGTTAATGAATAAATTTCATTATCTTTAATTACACGTACCCTTTAGGGATCATAATCCATAATTAATTAACGCTACACGGCATTGCGACTTAAACGCGGTTCGATTTGCATCTCATTTTAATTAAGTAAATAAAATCGTCGCCGGTTGATGTGGCCGAGGTGAAATAATGAAGTCATAAAAGCCTAAAAGCTAGCGGCCAATAAATAAGAGGGGAGATCGTGCGTCGGAGTCAACGCCAGTCAATACATTCTAATCAGTGATTTATTGCCCCTAATCCTCAGCTCAGCACAAATAAGCTATCTTGTCGACTTAATGTTGTATCAGCTCGGGCGTGAAACTCCCGCGCACCACTAAGTGGTCCTTCCAGTTTCCACTCGAAATATTTTAATAAGGCTCCGCTGCTCACGCATCCAAATAAAAACACACGCACTCACAGACACGAACCATCTAAGACCTCGGCTCGGCCGAGCTACCTTTATTTATAATAGTAGCGACACTAAGAGTCTACATTTTTGCTCTAAACGGTGTTAATTTATTGACCGTGGGCAGATAATATCACTTTTTTCTCCCATTATTGAAGCGATTACACCAGAAATTATACGTCGAAGTCCAGACTCGAGAGCCCGATCAATTGATAATAAGCGATCAATTGTATATTTTACTGCGCAGCTTTTAAGACGGTATTCGCTTGTGCGAAATGTGAAACCTCGATAATACCATACTTGACGAAATCGCCGCATGGACTCGCTAATAAAAAGTGTAAAGTTATGAACAAGTTATGCTGCTTGCATTAATTTCGATGCTTAACCTGATAAACAAATTATGTTATATTAAATTTATAGCTTAATTTATAATTGAAAATGTTACGATATATTCACAAGAATGCATTGTTACGAGCGCCTTTAAGGTCTGGTCGCAGTTAGCGACAAATTGCTTGTATAAAAATATCTATATTCGACGGACACGCAACACCTTAAACCGTTCGGGAGAGGTTTTAATTTTGCCTTCCAAACATCTTAACGAACCGTGTATAAAATTTTATTGGTATAACCTTTTACTCAGATTCGGCAAATCGCGTTCCCAAACGGTGTTATAAAATTTTAATGGTTCCGATGCTAAATTCAGTTAAAATTTTGAAGCTCAGAAAATAATATCGGTTTTACCCGTGGACTAACACCATACTCTGTAATCATTGACTGTGATTTTGCCATGTGAAATGTCCCACGATTTGAATTTTTAAATCTCCCTCTATTATCTGCACTTGTAATAAACTTCCTCATATTGCATTAATAATAGACAAAAAATGACATAGTTCAAATCTAACAATAATGTGGAATAACGTAATGCAGCCCTGGGGATATACAGTCGTCATAAAAATGAAGTAATAAAGTAAACGTTTCAAATTATCACTTTATTTGCTCTTTTCATTTTCTGTTTTATTCATATATGATGTCGCTATTATCCCTAGAGTATTTTTTTATAATTATTTATATTGGTGGTTAAAAAAAACCGTTTTTGCTGATTTCTGTATGATGAATATAAATATTGATTACAGCGATTTAACACTAATTAAACGGGTAACCCAAATTCGTATATATCATATATTACTTTTCTCTAAATTAAGTTTTGTCTTAGTACCCGCGACTACGTCTGCGTAGAATTGGCTGAAGGCGTGACATTCAGACGGAAAGACATACATAAAATACGTATATAAATTATAGCCTATGTCTTATTCTGATGTATGAGCTATATTATTGTAAAGTTTCATTAAAATCCATTCAGTAGTATTTACGTGAAAGAGTAACAAACATCCATCCATACATACAAACTTTCGCCTTTATAATATTAGTAAGGATTTGAGGACATGACACATTTTTGCAGTACGTTATCTAGTTCCATCAAAGTAAATATTGTACTATGGGTACAAGGTAGTTGATGAACACACTTAAATGTGATTTTCTTTTGTAAATAAATAGATTTAATAGATATATAAACAACAAGACACGACACAAACACTATGTTCATCACGCACTATTTTTCCAGTAGGGGAGATCGAATTCATACCATCTGGCGCGGGAGACAGGTGCCCATCGGGTCGTTGGATGAAACAGTACGATGGTATTCATTATTTGACAATCTCGTAAAGCTTCATTATACATGCCACATCATCATCCTTGGACTCAATGGAGAGATGTGCGGAAAGGCTTATTGGTGAACGTAACTTGGTTAAAACCAACCTTACTAGTCTTGAGCACAGGCGCAGAGTAGCCAGCCTCTCGGTCTTTTACAGGATGCATTTTGGAGAGTGTGCGTTGGAGTTCCATGATTTGATTCCTCCTGCCCCTTTCCATCATCGGACAACTAGGCGTTCGGCGAGACTCCACCCTTATGCTGTCGACGTTCCCAGAACAAGAACCAAGCGATTTGCTTCGTCATTTATCATCCGTATAGCTAAGGAATGGAACAAGCTGCCGGCGTCCCTCTTTCCGTCCGATTACAACGTAGGCGTCTTCAAGGCAAGGTTTTTACTGAGCTAGCGCGCTAACCATCAAAGGCTGCATCAATACTTACCATCAGGTGGGATGGCAGTGCTGGCAAGTGCTGGCCAGTTCTAAATATAAAAAAAAAAAACATTCTAAAGAGAAACGTTGGTTAAAGAGTCTGCCGTATGTCTTAAAATAATCGAAACCTAACCTTAAGGTAAATATTCTAAACGTAGATATGTCTTCTTAAATTTTCAATTCTAATTCAATGCAATATATATTAATAGTAGAATACAATAAAAGTAATTACATAATTTTACATCTTCAAATAAAAAGTTTTTCAAAAGTTTTAAGCATATTAAATAAATATATAAATAATAAAAATACTTATTAAGAATAATTCAGTTATCATACGAACAAATTGGTATATATTTGTAAAATATGGTAAAAGGGGATTTGTTTATTTTTAGAATTGTCGTAAAATTCACGAAGATTCCTAAGAAAATTTAAATAACAATAATTCAGACTTATTATTATCTAATTTTTTTTAAATAAGTTTTTAGCTATGAAAAATAACGGGACCCATGTAAATTTTAACTTGAATTCATTTCTACGTAACTCTCCAACGTATGTAAATCTACGTAATTTACGTAAATCTCTTTACAGTTCAGAAATAATACTACTCAGGATTTATATGTTTCCTTCCTTTATTGTTAAATTTCGGAGCTAAGGTAAACTATACTTATAATAAAGTAAATTATACTTTCGATTTATAAAATGCATGTACACAATCGTTACATTATCAATATGATAAATGAAGATTTAGAAATTAAAATACAAATAGTGAAATACTATTATTGAAATAGTATGTAATAGTATTTCACTATTTCCATATAATGTTTCAATAGCGTAACGATAGTTAAGAAAATTGTCGTCGAATAAAACGCAGCTAAGAGGTCCTAATAGCATAACAAGATATATTGTTAATTTGAAAATTAAACTTAGTATCGCTTCCTTATTAAGGTAAAGGCTGTGTACATTTTATTTATTTAATTTACATTGTAATGAGCGATTCACCGTTAATCCTGTTAGTTTATTAGCTAACTACGCAGTGTGCTACAATATTTACAGAATGTATGCGACTTTAGAATTTTCTAGTGAACTTTGTCGGTATGAAACAGATACGATAAATATACCAATGTGTTTTCTGTTCAATAATAAAGTAAAATTAATGTCTATTTCGTAAACTATACTATGCATTGAATAAATGGTTATTCCAATCCAGATTATTCCAGGTTATACCAGTTATCCAATGTTATGTTCATGTTTTTAAAAAAATTTGATACAAAAACCTAATGACTTTTGTGATATTATTGATATAATTGATCTCAGGTGGTGTTGATTAAAGGGCTGGGAAATTAGACCTTCGATTTATGGTCGCAGATACGAATTTCGTAGATATGTGCAAAAACATAATTTAACTAAGCTTTTTGAGGCGTTTTATTTATTTATTTATTTATTTATTTATCACCAACAAAGTACACACTGTGACAGAAGAATTATACAAGATATGCAAAAAAGTGATGAGTGGTACCTTAATTATAGGTAAAAACTACATTACAACAGACAGTGGAGACAAAAACCAAAAAACTTTTACAAAACTAAATGTGAAATACGAGCATTACAATAATACAAATATTAACTAAAATACGGTAAAAACAGAAAAAAATAATAATAAAGTTAATAGCGTAAGGTGATTACAATGTTGAGGTTAAACTCTATGGGACCTCGTTTTATTGAAAAGAAGTTAAACTTAATACTAACACGATGTTTTGATTTATATGGTCACAGGACGAATAATGTATGGCACAGCATTTTCCTATGGCAGCAAATTTCTATTGCCTATATCGACATTTGTAACACATTCATTTATTCTTTTAGTGCCGGTTTCGCCTTCATCATCTGGTGGCGGTGGTGCAGGGGGTGGCTCAGGAACGCCCCTATATCCAGGAGCGGCGTCGCATCCCCTTTCGTCACTGCTGTCTCAACAGAGATTGCTAGAACTTTCTCGATTCGGTCTGCGGCATTACGACATCGCACACCACGTGCTGTCCCAGCAAGGTGCTGTAACCAAATTACTCGGTAAGATTCCATTGCACATCCGACCACCTAGAAAAGGCTTGTTATTGTTGGTTAATAACACCGGTATAATTGGCTCTAAAGTCTTTAAATATAAGTAGAACCATTAATTCTTATAACGCGCGCTAACTCCGGGATGTTGGCAAATCTTTGTCATATGAAAATCTTAACTGTTCAGTAGAATAATCTGATTCTCAAAAATAGTATATTGTAAAACCTAAATTTCCATTCTGCTTATAATAGAAACACAATTATTATGATCTCACTAACATTTTAATCTCCAGTTAACGCTAGCTACAACTTTATTAACATTTATGACCACAACCATTTATGATCTCAATAATTACAACAAACTTATAAAACAAACAAATTATCCTTAAATTAGTAACAAAGTTAAACACAGTTAAACTCACGGTGTAAGTATTTTTTTATTATAATACAACTAGTCTTATGCATTAATGTATGTTTAAATGATTGCAATGCTTGAACACGTACAATAATTGCTAAATCGAAGTTCTGCTTCTCGGGTATCAGTTCTACAACAATTAGCTCATGTGTTATTTATGCGAAAGTCTTCGGGCAATGTTCAGTGTTGTATTGATTTATAAGAGTGATCTTTAAAGAATTGCCTCGCGGTCCGTTATTGGCCACTGCTTAGTTATTTGCGATAATTACTCCACCGCCCACCTAGAAAGGCCAATAAGTGTTGGGGTCTGCTCTACAAATAACTGCAATAGTCTAGTTTATGCTAGTACAGTTATAGAGTTATTTTAAGAACGAACATGTCTTTTAAGAAACTTAGGGTCAAAACACGCTGTAAAGGTTAACGACTCAATACAACTTTTTCTAGGGATTGTCGTGAGAGTAATTAGGGGATTTGGTCTTCTATGAAAATAAACATAACTAAAATTAAAAACTATAATTTAAAAAACATGTAATATGTTATATGTTTTTTTTATTATAATTGTTTTTAGATAAATGCACATAAACATTCGGTGCTGGAGGATATTATTTGTTGTTACCATATTTTTATCATAAATGTTGCTTGTATTACTTACCTAACTTAATAACCGCGTACCCTTCGCCAAATACAGGAACATTTCTTGAGCCTGACACGCTCCAAATCGCAACCTGTCTACAGCTTGGGGTTCCGGTTTGCACTTCTCATAAATGTCCCTGTGGCAGTGATGTCGACAAGCTAGGACATCACGGTTTGTCATGCCAAGAAAGTGCAGGCCGCTTCTCGGGACATGTCGCACTTAACGAGGGTCAAGGGGTATCATACGCCGGTTCCTTGCCACTGTCAACGTGCCAAGTCTACTTGAGCCGACTGGTATTGCAAGAGACGATGGCAAGAGACCGGACGGTATGAGTTTGATTCCATGGAAAATGAGCCAGGTGCTGGTATGGGCTGCAACCTGTTCAGACACGCTGGCCCCTTCCCATATACATGGAACTAACAACAGACCTGGTGCGGCTTGTGAAGCGGCTGAAAAAGCTAAAGCTTGCCAATACAGGGGTCTAGGCTCCGAATGGGATTTTGTCCCATTCAGTGTCGAGACCCTTGGTCTGTGGACTCCTGGCGCTATAAAGCTTTTTAAGGAAATAGCAAAAAGGTTAGTCGACATCACAGGAGACCGAAGAGCTGGCAGCTACCTCGAACAAAGAATTAGTCTAGCTATTCAAAGGGGGCACATTGCCAGTATCTTCGGAACCTTGCCTAAAGGGACTCCTTTTAATAACATATTTTAGTTATTATATTATATATCTTTTAAAGTTTTTAGTGTTAGGCTACAGCTATATTATGTGAACATAATAATTAGTAGTATTTTCTATTAAATATATTTTTTGTGACTTAATAACTATATTTGAATTGAAACTTCTTAGACACCTATTCGATAATTGGATGAGAATTAAGAGTGGCGTCAAGTTTAGGCGCTTTCCGTTTCATGACAGAGAAGAAAGATAAAATGTAGAGAGAAGAAGATTTAACGCAGTCAGTTCGTATAAGTATCTATATAATATCATATACCTATATCATTTTACATATACTCGTATATTATATTGTTATTATGTATTATTTTTTATATATTATTTTTTTAAATCGATCTAGATAGAGAAGATATAAAGATAGAGTCAAGAAGACCCCGGATCGGCTACCTGAATTTTTCCTTCCGCAGTTCCTACTTTTGTGCAAAAAAAAAGTCATCAATTACAATCGTCTTTAAATCGATATTCATGCCCATTTTTGCTCCTCAATTATTGAATCTTCTTCCTTGTAGAGAGGGACGAATTTACTATTAATTTCTAACTTTGCTTTATACTTAGTTTATAATGAAAAATTATGATTTTTATTAACAAGACAACCTTCATTATTAACATAATTATGTATTCGTTGGAAGCATTAAAAGCAATGGATTCAGTTTTCAGTAGGGACTGCGGCTCCATGATTCTGCATCTTTACAAATCGTAAACTTCTAAGGTTATCTATATTGTATAAAAATAAAAAGAAGTCGCAAGTTCCTGGCTCGGGATTGTACGATTGCACCACTTGTTACACATTTGAGGTCTTAAAATAATATGCATATTTTAGCAGAATGTGCGGAAGCGCTATCGTAGGGATGACATTCTTGGGAGGACGCTTTCCCCAAACATTTTCTGACAGTCTTGGAAAGCAATTTTTTTGTATCATACTATACTCATTGTCCTGTGGTTTTCAAGCGGCACTGGAATATTATGTCCTAATGTAAAAAAAGCGCTTATAGGTTCGGCATGATAATCACGCAGGTTTGATAATCCTATAACCTCGTTCATCATTTTTGGAAGCATGCAGTGTCTGGTCTTCTATTAGTCGTGAAGTGCGGTGTCAATCGAGCGCAAAACTTCTGAGTCTTCAAATGCATATCCAAAATGTTTTGCATTGCACATTTCAATGATAAGAGGGGTGGTTCTTTTCGCGCTTAAAGGTTTAGGTTAACTCTTCAGCGAGGAAATGCAGTTATCATTCTTGGCACCATCCCGCGTGGACTAGGTTTATAAGATAATATTATGTAACTTAGTTAGATTTAGTAAAATTGTAAACATTGGATGAATAAATGTTACGTTATTTTTAGCTATCGTAAAAATTTTACTCTCATAATTTTTTTACAAACGCGCCAAAAGATGTATAACTTCAACATTGTTAAGGTCTTACAAATACCCTGACATATTAACGTTAAACAATAAATATACCACACATTATCGTGGCAAACTTAAGAATGACCAACAGGTATCGAGGCTAACCGATTATTAAGATCAAGCTATAATCGATACCTCGGATCCTCAGCATTCAATGAACGAACCGCGCGGTGATTTGTCGAAAGCGACGCGGCGAGATGCTGCATCCAGCCCAGTTCTAATTATACGGCCGCGGCAAAAATCTCAATCGCTATTAATCAACGATAAGCGATCGGCGCGGCCGCTGCGAGGGTCTATTGACGAAAGCTTAGATCCTAATCAGCACGTAAGACTTGCAGCGTGTTAATTATACGCCACCGGGCTGCGGACTGTAGCAGCCGCGGGCTCGTAAGAGCGTTGTCAATCCTATCGCAGCATCGATGGTTCCGCGCGTCTGTAATCGTCCTTTGTTATTGTTGCGGTTGCATTTCGGCCGATCGCAATCTTTATTTGTCCGCTGATTGCCGTTGGGATTCCGTTTGTTTTTTTTATGTGAAAAGCTTGCAGCTTTTACCAAGTTGGCAAGTTATTTATGTGGTCATAAGTGATTACCGCCGCCCATGGACACTTGATGATTTGCAAATGCGTTGCCAACGTTTTAATGTTGAGCCCCGGTTACATCACTCACCTGGCGAAATACGAAAGTATAATACCTTCATATCACGCCAGTCTTCTGTAAGGCTGTGGTACTTTTCCGGACGATCTTGCCCATTCATGCAACAGAAGTAGCTGGTGCCTAGCCCTACGACAGTTATGTTGTCTTGTACCTCGGTGATAAACGCATCGTTGTTCCTGCTTTTTTTGTTGAGTTTTATCAGGGAAGAAATTGTACGATAGTATCGCTCCTCGTACGGTACAATTTTTTTGTGTCGGCAAATGGTGGCGACAGCTAGTTATATTCATCGTATTTCTCACACTTGTTTTACGTTTGGGGCTAAATAATTGTGGTGAACAGTTGTTAGAATTCTATCTCTCTGTATTTCTACTTTTATAAATTATTTATTACTAAAATTAATTAATTAAAACCAACTCCACCACGCCACCTTTTACGTTCTCAATAGAATTGTCTATAAGAAAATTACTAGGACGCGGTAAAAGCATTCGCTATAACAGGCGCGACACGCAAACAACTTGCCGGGGCATACTATCTTAATCTAATGTTGGTCATTAATTAAACTAATTATTTTATTGCTATTAATTGTTTTCACATTAAAGTGAATACTGTTGAGATAAGTTTTGTATAGGTAATCTTCATGTTTTTTGTAATTATACTAAACTAAAATAAACTACGATTATTGACTGGCACTTTGGGCCTATTTAATACAACTTTTTTATACCACGCCTATGTGATACAGTCTTACTTGATGAACATTTAACTTATTACTTTCAGTATAATGCAAACATATTATAATTGACAGTATTTAATAAAATGTTACAATTAAAGTAATAATTTTCTGTTTAACCATTAATGAAATTGCAATGCATTCCAAATAAAGCATATATGTTGGGCCTGTCACAGCCACAAACACTTGGTAGCGTTCACTTAATTTGAGGAATTAGTTTCTCGAGTGATATATAATTAGGACACATGCCCGCTTTGTGTTTGCTCAAGAAACGTGAAAGGACGATTGCAAAAGCACTGATGCATACGTCAACCAACATGTAATCATTTTGAACGTCGATCTCACTTGAATAACTGAATGTATAATTCGTGAAACTATTAACTTGTTCCAACTCTCAATTAAGTTAACTCTTTCCTGTGAGAAAACTAACGTTCCGTGGTCTAG